AGAGAGAGAGAGAGAGAGAGAGGTGGCCGGGTGGCCGGAAGGATAGACGAACTGTCAACCCACCGTCTAAACGGGCGATGGTCCATGTGGATTTTTGTTCAAACAATGAATATCCCCAGCAGACTCTAGCCACCGGCACCGTCACCAGTATACTTCTAACCTGAACTGGGAACTGTCTAGTTTATGTTCCGTGCAGAATGAATGACGTGCTTTGGCCCACAGAAGGCGACTACGTTGCACCACACTAAGAAGGAAAACTCGATTGGCTAAAAATGGTCGGACAACCGTTCTGAGAGTTTCACAGAAGAATGCTCTAAACGAACAGGAGAGGCAATTAACGGTAGCAAACAGGTTTCTCCGCAAGGAAACCAAAGTCAAGTCACTCATTGCCATGCATCTAGACGAGACAAAACAAACAGTGAAGCGTTACCGTTTCTTGTAGGTCATAGCCCCAGACAATCGTCCAGATAGGGCGATCGATTAAGACCTGTACTTTACCTTAGAAAGGTTCTGAGAGTACCTTGGGTTTACAAACCGGTCATGTAACGCTTTGTCCCTACCCTACCCGATGCAACAGCTTCCACATTATGTTCTTCTCTAATCTCTTTCTCACAAAATGGATGCATCCCGCAGCAATGTCATTTATGTTGCCTCCTGTAAAATATGCACAGCGGTTGGAGTCGACAGAACACTCTCGCCTCGTAGTGGAGGTTGTCGTGAGGGCTCCATATTTCAATTTGCTCGTTGATCAAAAGAAAATCGCTTAACTGTGATTCCTTGCTGACTGGCTGGTCACCAGTCCGGTTTTTTTTCACTTCGAAATAAGTCAACAGCGTAAATATCGGACTTGCTTCGCTAAAACCGGAATTAACGGAGTGCCCGTCTAATTAGACTCGATTGTGATAGTCTTCACAGTGTATAGAGAATCACCGGGCTATCTATCTGTCCACAGAAAGAACATCGTCAGTGAACGTGTCTACTGCGACCAGACAGCTATCCGACACAGTCAGTCCGGCCTGACTGGTATCCCCAACATAAAGTCATCGGCCAAAATCGCAGATGAAGGCAGTGAGTCGTTAGAGGGTCCCATTTCCAGCCGTAACTAAATCGCGACTAAACTGATTGGATAGCGTGAATTACAGGTAAGATGTGAGCACGATGAATCAATCACCCAGTGAGTCCAAGGGAAACTGAAGGACACTATCATATATTTTGACTGATCAGAATCTCGTCAAAACTTTTCGTCACATGAACGAATCGGAGTTTGTGTCCGACTCGTCATTGTCCCCTCTCGTTCGAAAATTGCTGTTTCGGGTTACTGTGAGGGCTTCTAGATGGTCTCCATCACAAACCCGTATAGCAGTGTCTTAGTATCATGTCTGAGGAAAGTTTACGAAAACTCTGTCAACCTATCTGAAGCTGGTGACTGGGAGATCTTGGCGTCTGACATGGTTCAGTAAGTTCACGTTGCCTTACTGCAGTGCTCAGCTCGGCTTGGCTTTGGTTGACTTGGGTATGCTGTCCAGAGGAACTTAAGCACACACCTGATATCACAGTAGTTTGCTCACCGATATGCTCCATTTGGAAGGACCTGAGCCTACATCAGCAAATGGTGGATTGCAAAAACATTTTTCACGCGTTTGCCCATATTTCTACCACAAAGCCATTGACGAATCAAACCTGTTTGTTTGAAATTTTACAATGCTGACACGCAATTCATTGACATATGTACTTATGAGCCTCAACTTTGTATTCGGATGGTGGTATTCACGTGTTCAGTCGCGCCCTCAATGGTGCTCATGCATCCAAGCTATTGCCTTCAATGCATAGCTCCCTTCCCAATCCCCCACTTGACAGCCCACTGACAGTGCTGGATTTGCGCACCAATTTATCATCTCCCGCCTGCAATGCGCAGCTACCTACCCACTGCCCCCCAAATCATTGGTGAACGAAACTGCGGCAGCTAAAACCACTGTACGACGAGTAAGCGGTTATTACAGCTGACAACGGTGACGATGATGATGATGATGATGATTCACGTGTTCAGAACATCGCATCTTGTAACCCCAAGTGCTCATTTCTCGCAGATCTTCAGCTTGACTGATCGAGATTTACTCTATTGGTTAAGTTTTTGTCTTATACGCATCGTCATTCTCATTGAGATCATGAGACTTTCCAGATAGCCAGTTGAAAAGGCCATCTGTCCGTAGTTTTGGCTCCTTCAGCCGCTCGGTTTCCGGGCACCAGCCTGTTTTCAACCATCACAGGATCCACCATGCGTACCGTCGAACCGTTCACCAATAACCGGTATTGCCTGCGTGATTCTGGTAGTAAGTCTATCGTCTTGCATTCCGTGTGTATAATTCGAAGTCCGGGCTAACAGTTTCCTCAGTCCAGGTAAGGAGAACCCAGGTTTAGGAGACGTGAGGCACTAAAGTACACCTCGCCTGGCCTTGGCAAACATCACCCACAGATCGATCAACTCCAGATGGCATGGTATGCATCGTATTGTCGAAAAATCGATGACGCGATCACTACTCAAGTGCGAGTCAACCACAGAGCCGATAAGCCATTCAAAAATGCTGAAACTCTTCTCCACAACTTCGACGACCCAGTTCCTAAAAGAATCAAGGAACTGCCAGTCGTCTTTTATCGGGATGTTTGAATTCCATCTTTTGGCACAGGCTGAGGAGTGAGATATCTTTGGCATGTGATCTGGAAGTTCACATTGAACCAGGGTGAACATGCGTAAATGAAGCAAGAAACGTGGCTAAGTCGTTCTGCATACAGCCCTTTTGAATAGACAATAAAGCGTAACTCACCCGATCGACCAAGTTCACCGTACTCTGTCCATACAGTCGAGCGGGTAGCTGGGGAGGCGTGTCGCATTGCGGCCGTGAGCTGGAATTCGACTTTTGAGAATGATGTTGATGACGGCGTTGCTGACCAGAACGGTCGACAGCTCGGATACTCCAGACGGAACTATCACATGATGGGTGAACTGGTCGAACATCGGCACGAGGCTTGCGCAGTTCGTAATAGATGTGATCACTGGGGTGAGCCGAGATATGCTGAAAGTAAATGCGGTGCGAGTTGGAAAACACGTACGCTTACTACCAATAATAATACAAAATTAAGCAAGAAACTCAAGAATGATTCATTCATTATATGGGTTTCAGTGAAAAGCGGCTATTTGTTTAAAACGTCAAAACGGTGGTAAACCGTTGCCCTCAATCTAACGTAGTTGGTAGACAGTTAAATACGACATGCTACCAGCCGAACTGAGGATTCGAGTTACATGTGGTAGTACGAACGAACGAAAAGACACGCCCTTGGGCGCGTCTTGGACTTCGAACAACTTACGTCTTTGGCCTTCTGGACAATGCCACCGTCTGTTTCATCGTAGAAGCTCACTAGTCGCGCAGAAAGTGGCGCGGTGAATCAGCTGTAACTTTCGGCTGCATTACCGACAGCGGGAGATCTTGGTGGAGCAACCTTCAGAGAACCAAGAGGTTAACAGTTCGAGTCATGTGACTAAGCATTCCTTTCAACTTTCTAACAATATGAGATTGATCACCGAACTTGAGAGTTTTCTTCAAAAGCTTAGTTACCCAACTAGTGGAAATCATCAGTGCACATCTTGGTGTCGATTCCGAAATGATCACTGAAATGCATTTCGACAGAGCTTGAGACAGACCAACGATAAGTGATTTCCAGGAGTACTGAAACCAAGTTTTTTTCAGGAAGTTCTGGGACAACACCCTATGCAGCCTGATTCAGGATTCCAAATGGAAGTATAATATCCTTTCTCAAAGTATTCATCTGTGTTAGATGTTCTGAATCTTCGTGCATCTGACGCGACCATCAAAGATGGATGGGGATGACGTAGCACTCTCTGATTTTTTTCCGGTACAACTGCCATCCAACTCTTGGGAGTATTTTATGCACCCTTCCACAGAGGTGAGTTTACCTCGAGGCGCTAGTCAGAGGGCACGAATGTATAACGTACTTCTATGCGTCTCGTGCAATACTTACACCACTGGATGAGACCACCCCCTGTATTACATGTGACGTTCTGTAGCGAAACTATTTAAGTGAAACACTGTCCCTCGACAAAACATTCAAAGCATGGTGTTGAGAAAACTGACGGCATTTTGTGCCTATCTGTCGATCAGTTCCCTGAGGTTAGCCTACCGTAACGTGTAGGAGTCTGCTCGACCCACCGGTTCTTCACTATTGCAGCTAATCTACAAACATGATACTTTTCAGAAGATCTTACTGTTCAGTGTGCTTGATCAAACTTTCTTGTAACGAAGCAGCCTTCCGGGGCAGTTAGACATCAACAGGCAATCGAAATTCAGGAGCTGTCAAAACCAGGCCACCGGGTTTCGTGGAACTTGTATTTAAGCAATTATTTCTTCGTTGCGTAACTACGGGTGATGTCACCGTACGAAAGAGGTATTAGTAAGCGAATGAAAACGGATTTCTTCCAAGTCCAGCGGGGCGAAATTCCACACACGTTATCATACCAAATGTCAAAATACTCAGTATTACCAAGGCACGAGTTAATTGGGGAACTCTCTCTGTTGTACTTTCTGCTTGTATGGAACCAACTTCTGTTTACGAAAAGTAGTGGACTTTCCATTGTTGCAGAACCATCTTTGCACGGAAATATCCATGTAATGACCCCGCTGTTCTACCCTACACGAGATACGGAAATTT